CATGGTCAACAGGAGGGTCAATGGGAAATTCTATCATCATTTACTCTGCTTAAAGGGTCAGTTCAGCCCAAAATAAACTTCTCACCATTAACTGAGCGTTTCTGAACTGGGTCAAGACCTGCGTCAGCTTCTGCTGAACACTACCGGCTCTATTTTGACGGTCCATGCGCAAAACGCAGGGTGCAAAAGCTTTCAGGGCATGTCAGGACGCGTTTTTGCTCATGCACAGGAAATCTGCCTTGCGCCGTGGCACATGGTCTAAAAGGGTTGAGTTTATTTTATTAATGAGTTATAGGTGTGTTTTAAGAATAAACCAATCAGAGTCTCATCTTCCATTGCCTTTAAGAGCCAGCTGCGTCACGCCAAGAGCGCATTCACTATTTACAGGACGCAAAGTAAGTCTAAGTGGAAAAACTGAGCATTTCACAAGCAAACAGTTACAGTTGAGGTTTTTTTTTACAGAAAACAGTTAAACAGAGCATCTACTGCTGAGAATGAGAGATAATGGATCACTTTCACTCTTGGATAGGGAAACCTTTACACACAGACATCAATTAGTCTATAAATAAATACTTTTGTTTGTTAAGCGCAAATATTCATTTCAAAACTATTTCTAAATTCAGTTCTGATTTCCAGCAAACGAATAAATGAACAATAATAATGAAGTGTGTACAAAAAAAGTATACAAAGCAGATTGTTATGAATGAACTGAAAAAGCCTCCCGAGATGAAGAAGACATAAAGCAGTGGTTTTTCATATTTATGTCTGCTAGAAAATAATATGTTTTGTAATATTTTAATCCTTTATATTTATATTCTATATCTATTCTTATTATATCCTATATATATCCTTAATGTTTACATTTTTTCATATGTGAAGATATGTGTCTATTGCTCTCTTGTGTGTATTCAGCAGTGTGTAAGCGAGGCGCAACTCTGCGCTGGAGTTTAGACCGGGTTAGTTTGGGTTTAATGAAAAATCTATTATAGTTTCTCAAAATAGCGACGCGCCAGCGGTCCACCTCAGAACACCTCCCTTTTAGAGCAGAACGCCTATGAGCGCACAAATGAGCGCTAATGCATTTGCTGTTTAAACAGCGTAGCGCAACGCCTCAAAACCACTCTTGCGCCAAGCTGAAACTACCAAAAGACTACTGCGCTGCGTCTTGCGCCACACTGCGCCGGGTGTATGACAGTGCCCTACGCAAGATATTTTGAAGAATGCTGAAAACCACTGACGTCTATAGCGGGGAAACACATGCTGTGTAAGCCAATGGTTACCGGTGTCCAGCATTCTTCAAGATCTCTCCTTCTGTGTTCAACAGAAGCTGACGCAGGTCTTGACCCAGTTGAGGGAGACTGAGCGTTCATTTGAGGAGGAATAAACACTTGAAGATGGAAAATGTGTTGGAGATGCGGAGCTGATATGAGCCGCTGCTCCGCCTGGTATTTCCTCTGTTCCCAGCGGCCGGCCGAGCTCGCTTTGAGTTTCAGGCTCGAGTGAGGACGGAGTCTAAACAGAAAACACTGAGCTCCGAGTGTGAGATGCTGAACACACTGATGTGGGAACTCTGAGCCTCCTACACACACGAGACAGACTGATGTTACTCTCCTGATGTGCACATTTCATCCAGCATCTGCGCTGATCTTGTGTGTGTGACGCTCTGTTGAGCCCTGTTGATTATTAGTTGTTAAAGGGTGACTTTATTACACATTTTAGATTGAGGGCGGCTCAGTGGTGTCGCCTCACAGCAGGAAGGTCACTGGTTTGAGTCTCGGCTGGGTCAGTGTGTGTTTCTGTGTGGAGTTTGCATGTTCTCCCCGTGTTGGTGTGGGTTTCCTCCGGGTGCTCCGGTTTCCCCCACAGTCCAAACACATGCGCTATAGGGGAACTGATCAACTACACTGGCACTAGTGTATGAGTGTGAATGAGTGTGTATGGGGTGTTTTCCCAGTACTAGGTTGCAGCTGGAAGGGCATCCCCTGTGTAAAACATATGCTGGAATAGTTGGTGGTTCATTCCGCTGTGGTGACCTCTGATTAATAGAGGGACTAAGCTGAAGGAGAATGAGTGAGTGAGTTGTGTAAATCTAAATCTGATGAGCGGAGGCTCTCCTGTCTCCAGCAGG